ACCCTTTCACAGGGGTCGCCTAAGACCATCGGAAAACACATATACAATGACATATTGTTTTTGTGATTAATCACTATGCTTTAATTATGTTCAATTTGTAACAATGAAATTGGGGGTCACCACAACATGAGGAACTGTATGAAAGGGTCGCGGCATTAGGGAGGTTGAGAACCACTGCTCTAGAGAATTCATGTTTCTCAGAACCAAGTCCCCAGCCATGGGAGTGAGCCACTTTGGAAGCACATGCTACTGCCCCAGTCCAGCCTTCGGATGACACCTGTCCACACCAACACCCTGATGCAACCTCATGAGCTCTTAAGCCAGAACCACCCAGCTAAGCCACTCATGGATTTCTGACTCTCAGAGATGGTGTGAGATAATAAACATTTATTGTTGTTTTAAGCTGCTACGTTTGGGGGCAATTTGTTACACAGCAATAGATAACGAATACACCCAGGATAAATTAGCCTATGTACAGATGAGGAGGTCAGAGGCCAGAGGTCAGAGGCAAGTCCAAAGTTGTACAACGGGTAGGATTTGGGGGGTTCCAGTTCTCCTTAGACATCTTAAAGCTGAATCGATCTCTCACGCCGTAAAAATTATACCAGTTTTTCTGGTTAGCGATTGCCATGTAAGTAATAAGGCCAAAGCTCAGTGGTTTAAAACAACAGTCATTTCATTATCTTCCATTGGCCTATGGTTGATGACATTGGGAAAGGCTTAGCCTGGATTTGATCAAGATCTGATCAAACACCTGTTTTCATGGAGCCTTGCGGCTTTCCACATGGTTTCTTCGTGTGGGGTACACTGGGCTTTCTCACCGCTTGGTGGCTTCAAGGAAGCGGAACTGCTTGCATGATGGCTGAAGTTCAAGAGGATTTCAGCTCACAAGGAATTACATACCTTTCCTGACTCAACCTCAAGTCATCCAGCGTCACTTCTGCTGTGTTCCAATGGCTACAAGTGAGTCATGAGCCCACTCAATTTCAAGGGAAGGGGGACGAGACTCCACCTCTTTTTTTAAAAAAATATATTATATTGATTTTTTACAGAGAGGAAGGGCGAGGGATAGAGAGTTAGAAACATCCATGAGAGAGAAACATCGATCAGCTGCCTCCTGCACGCCCCCTACTGGGGATGTGCCCACAACCAAGGCACATGCCCTTGACCGGAATCGAACCCGGGACCCTTCAGTCCGCAGGCCGACGCTCTATCCACTGAGCCAGACCGATTAGGGTGAGACTCCACCTCTTAATGGGGGAGGTGAGTGGAGACGGGAGACATCTTTGAAAAATATAAGGTGGCCATACCACTTGCTCTATCCACTGAGCCAAACCGGTTTCGGCAAGAGACTCCACCTCTTAATGGGGGAAGTGAGTGGAGACAGGAGACATCTTTGAAAAATATACGGTGGCCATACCAATCCAACTGCTTTGGCAAAGGCTAATGTAACGGGCGTGAACAACACAGACGTTGATTTCCCTCTCATGTAACAGCCCAAGACTAAGCAATCCCAAGTGATATTCACAGTGACTAACGTTCCCGTGTCAGGAATTATAATGGTTCATTTAATTGTATGTGCCAACTTGACTGGGCCACAGGGTGACCAGAACCTTATTCTGTGTGTTTCTGGGTCCGATTAACATTTAAGTCGGTAGATGAGCAAAGCAGATGGCACTCCCTAAGGTGGGTGGACCTCATCCCATCCGTTGAAGGCCTGAATGGAGCCAAAAAGCTGACCCTCCTCTGAGTGAGAAAGAATTCTTCCCAGACGCCTTAGTGCCAGGACATCAGCTTTCTTCCTTCAGATTCAAACGGAAACATTGGTTCTTTCCGGGTCTTGAGCTGCCAGCCTTCAGGCGAGAGCTACGCCACCTTGCCCGGCCTACATAGCTCAGTGGCTGAGCATCGACCTAGAAACCAAGAGGTCACGGTCAGGGCACATACCTGGGCTTCGGGCTCGATCCCCAGTGTGGGGCGTGCAGGAGGCAGCCGATCAATGATTCTCTCTCATCGTTGATGTTTCTATCTCTCTCTCCTTTCCTCTCTGAAATCAATAAAAAAAAGAAGAAGAAGAAGAAGAACTACATTACCAGCTCTCCTGATACGGTATTCAGGCCTTTGGACTTGGACTTGAACTAAACATCAGCTCTCCTGGGTCTCCAGTTGCCAGTTCAACCGGCAGATCTTGGGGCAGGCCGACCTCCATAGTGATGTCTTCCTTCTGTCCTTCTAGCTTTTGGCTCCACCATCCACAACACAGGGCTTCCACCTTACAGGGTAAGATGGTCCAGCCAATGCCCAACACCACACCCCACTCCAGCCGAAGGAAGGGAGAGGTTAAGGGCGAGGCCACGCTCCTTGCCTTTGAAGGCCATAACTTAGACGCGGCACACATCTCTTTGGCCAGAAGCTATTCACAGGGCGGGAAACTAGCTGTGAGGGAGCCAGGGAGATGTCGTCCTTAGCTGTGCAGCCAAGTCTCCAATGTAGCTTTCCTATCACAGGTGAGTGATTACTTAGGGGACACCCAGCCATCTCTGCCACACAATTGAAAGATTGACACTAAGCCCTGACCGGTTTGGCTCAGTGGATAGAGCATCGGCCTGCGGACTCAAGGGTCCCGGTTCGATTCAGGTCAAGGGCATGTAGCGGGTGTGCAGGAGGCAGCTGATCGATGTTTCTCTCTCATGGATGTTTCTAACTCTCTATCTCCCTTCCTCTCTGTAAAAAATCAATAAAATATATTTTAAAATAAAATAAAATAAAATAAAAGACTGAAACGAAGCCCTGGCCGGTGTGGCTCAGTTGGTTGGAGCGTCGTCCTAGGCACCAAAGGGTAGCAGGTTCGATTCCCGGTCAGGGCACATACTCCGGTCAGGACGCATTTGGGAGGCAACTGATTGACGTTTCCCTCTCACATCAATGATTCTCTCTCTCTCTCTCTCTCCCCCTCTCCCTCCCTCTGTCTCTAAAATCAATAAGAACATTTTAAAGAAACAAAAACAAAAACTAGTATCTTAAAAATAAAGAGCCTTCAGGGCATTCTTTCCTTGGCCACAGTGACTGGCAAGGACTCTAGATTATAGTGGCTCTGCCAGCCCTGGTGCCAGACTTCTACTGATCAGAACCCTCAGCCAAAATATAACACTTGTTATGCCCTGGCCAGCGTTGCTCAGTGGTTAGCGTGTCGACCTGTGCACCGTAAGGTTGCAGGTGCAATCTCCCCCCCCCCCATCATCAGCCCCAGTCAGGACTTGTGCAGGAGCCAACCAAGCGATGTGTCTCTCTCACATCAATGTTCCCCCCCCCCCCCCACCTTCCTTCCATTCCTTCTAAAACGCAATGGAAAAAATATCCTCACTCCTTGGATAAGGATGAAAAATAAAAACTAAAATAAAAAACCCTGTTATGCTGAGATTTGGGGGGTGTTTCTCACGGCAGCATAACCTAACCTATACTCACTGCTATAGAAACCAGGAAAGTTAGATCTTGCCTAAGAGCACAGAGTTCATCCTAACGGCCCAACTAAGCACCTACTTATAGTTCACTCACTGCTGGTAATTTGGGTGGGAATGACCTCACCCCTGCTGTACAGAGGGCATGGGACCCAGGCTTTACTAACAAGCCACCGAGAAACTCGTGAAGGCAAATCCCTTCTTTCCTATGGAAATGACTCTCTGTGCCTTAACGAGGCCCGAGGCTGCTGGAGGCCAATATGGGAAAGGCCTGACCTCCAGGCGAAGGGCCATCAGCTAATATTATTTGTTGAGAACATACTGTCTGCTATGGGCTGTACATCCACCGCCCCTTTTAATCCTCACCAGAAGGTGGTTAGCACTATCTCCCCTGTTTCCTGAGGAGACAGACCAACAGGTGTTTGCTCCAGGAGATGTGGGAAATGTGGTCCTTTC